TTTTTTTGTGATGGAGTCTTGCTCTGTTGCCCAGGCTGGAGTGCAGTGGCGCCATCTCGGCTCACTGCAACCTCAGCTTTCCAGGTCCTCTTGATCTCAGGTGATCCACCAGCCTTGGCCTCCTAAAGTGCTGGGATTACAGGCATGAGCCACTGTGCCTGGCCTACTTATATGTTATAAAAAAGGAATTTAATATGAACCACATAAGTAATTTAAAACTGTCTAGCAATGACATTTCAAAAAAAGTAAAAAGAAGTGAAATTAATTTTAACTATATTTGGCTTAGTTCAACATAGCCAAAATACTATCTTTTAGCATGTAATCAATGTAAAAATTATTGGTTATAAAAATTAACTGGGGACGGGGCGTGGTGGCTCACACCTGTAATTCCAGCGCTTTGGGAGGCTGAGATAGGCAGGATCACAAGGTCAGGAGTTTAAGACCAGACTGACCAACCTGGTGAAACCTCATCTCTACTAAAGATAGAAAAATTAGCCTGGCATGGTGGCACGTGCCTGTAATCCCAGCTACTCGGGAGGCTGAGGCAGGAGAATCGCTTGAGCCCAGGACGCGGAGGTTGCAGTGAGCTGAGACTGCACCACTGCACTCAAGCCTGAGTGACAGAGCAAGACTATGTGTCAAAAAAAAACATAAAATAAAAATTAACTGGATATTTTACATTCCTTTCTGGTACCAAGTCTTTGAAATGTGGTGTATATTTTATACTTACAGTATATCTCAATTTGGCTGGACACATTTCAAGTGGTCAATAGCATGTGTAGCTGGTGGCTACTTGTATTGCCCTCGAAAATAGAGGCTTTAATAGATTTGGGCTGGTGTATGATTGTGTGGATGAATTCCTTCTCCCAGATCCTTCTCTAAAAGCCTCCCCTGACCTCCCAGGCAGTGTTTGGGTCTCTTTCCTCCTCTTGGCTTGGTCCCTGTAGCCCTTGAGACAAACTCCTCTCTGTGGAGGACATGAGAGCAGGAGGGAAAAGGGGAAAATCTCATTTCCATCCATACTCCATTGGGACCACTTGACATTGGGATGCTTGGCATTTCATGAATAAAGAAAGGATTGTGAGCTTCATAAATGACAGGATTCAGAGGAAGACCATACACCAAAGCAACTTCTATGAAGCCATTAAAAATTATGTCCCAGAACAAAAGTTTTTTTTTGTTTGTTTGTTGTTGTTTTTTAGATGGGAATCTCACTATGTTGTCTAGGCTGTCCTAGAACTCCTGGGCTCAAGCCATCCTCCTACCTCAGCCTTTCAAGTAGCTAGGACTACAGGCACACACCACCACATCCAGCTCCAGAACAAATGTTTTCGATATGTGTTCCTAGAATTCCCTTCCCAGGATTTCAGGGCAGTAAAAAATAGTAGAACTGTGGACTCCATCCCCTTCAACCAGAGAAAGTTCGCTTTTATCTGATTTATTTACTAGTATTCAGGATAAAGAGTTTAGTTTTTTTTAAGTTTCCTACAAAAAATATTTGAAAATCAGTTTAAGGACATAGTGATAAGAGTAGGGAGCACATTAGGCACAGCAGATCAAAAGACTGGATTGGCAGCCTGGGATCAGACTGCATTTACCTGAGTCTCTAAGTGTCTTGGGCTTGCTTAGCACTGGTTTAGGGAGAAACTGACCCAGCCTCAAGGATCTCATGGTCTGATGGGGTATGGGGCTTTGCATATGAAGCTAGCAGAGGAGAAGGAAAGAACCCAAGGCTGGGTTTTAGAAGACCTTGAAGTCTGGCCGGGGATGGTGGCTCATGTCTATAATCCCAGCACTTTGGGAAGCTGAGGTGGGTGGATCATGAGGTCAGAAGATTGAGACCCTCCTGGCCAACATGGTGAAACCCTGTCTCTACTAAAAATACAAGAATTAGCTGGGTGTGGTGGTGTGTGCCTGTAATCCCAGCTACTTGGGAGGCTGAGGCAGGAGAATCACATGAACCTGGGGGGCACAGGTTACAGCAAGCCAAGATCGTGCCACTGCACTCCAGCCTGTTGACAGAGCAAGACTTTGTCTTAAAAAAAAAAAAAAGACCTTGAAGTCTGTCTTGGCTCAGCCAGGCAGGCTGAGATTTTAGGCTAGGCCCCACCCTTCTCTGCATCTCAAACTCTTCCACTGGAAAACAGAGGTTGAACTAGATGATATCTCTGAGTTCTGATCTTCTGTGATACACTCTTCAGAATAATAATTAAGGTTTATGCATACAGCATGTTGCTCATAGTTCTTTAATACTATTTAGGTCATCATGCTTTGTGCTTTGGTAAATTGCATCTGTGCCTAATGTCTGTCTCCCCCACTGACTATAAGTCTTTTGAGGTTGTGTCTGATTCATTACTGTGTCCACCCTCTGGGCCTGGCAGAGGCAGGCCTGAGCACACATCTGCCTTCACTAAACATCCGTAGAGTTAAATCGCTTTAATAAAGTACTAATATCTGTAGAACAATCAGACTTCAGATAACTTGGAAACATTTTTGTGGCACAGACATAGGAAGGGCCAGAGGAAAGGGAAGCAGGTGGACAGGTGGAGCTGTCTGTAAAGGCTTCTTGAAGGAGGAGGAATGCTTTCCCTGAATAGGTGAGTTCTTAATAGATGGTGTGTATGTATGCTTACAAGGACATTGAACCTGGACATTTAGTAGTGAGATAACATGAAAGCACTTGGTGGGGTAGAATAGAGATCACAGACAGGTTTTGGAGACAGACAGACCAGGATGGTTGTAACACAGTATGGCCTTTGATTAGTCACATGAGATCTCCCATATGCATAAATATTCAATGCATATTTATTGAAAAATTTTCTTGGTGCCAGACACAGTATTACATGCCAGTGATGAAGTATAGAAAGCTGCCCTGATTTAACTAGCAAGGGAGATAGACCTTAAGCAGGTAATCATATAAAAATATAGAGTGCGGCCGGGCGCGGTGGCTCAAGCCTGTAATCCCAGCACTTTGGGAGGCCGAGGCGGGTGGATCACGAGGTCAAGAGATCAAGACCATCCTGGTCAACATGGTGAAACCCTGTCTCTACCAAANTCTCCATGTTGGTCAGGCTGGTCTTGAACTCCCGACCTCAGGTGATACACCCGTCTTGGCTTCCCAAACTGCTGGGATTACAGGCGTGAGCCACCATGCCCAGCACTCCCCATTTTTTTTCTTTTGAGTTGGAGTTTTGCCCTGTTGCTCAGGTTGGAGTGCAATGGCATGTTCTCAGCTCACTGCAGCCTCCGTCTCCTGGGTTCTAATGATCCTCTCACCTCAACCTCGTGAGTAGCTGGGATTACAGTCACCTGCCATCAAACATGGCTAATATTTTGTAAGTTTAGTAGAGATAGGGTTTCACCATAATGGCAAGGCTGGTCTTGAACTCCTAACCTCAAATGATCCACCCACCTTGGCCTT